TGGTGAGTTTGAACCACTTGACATTGTGGTTCAAACGAACTTGTGGTTCAGTGCTTATCCTACATAGCCATACCAGGACTCTTAGCAAGGTAAAAAAGCCAGTTGATTCCTTACTCCTGGTAACCCTATATGTGCAGAGTAGAAATGTGCTTCATAGCGTTTTCAAGACTGTAAGTAGATCTTCAGGCCTTTTTTTTTTTGGAGGCACCTTCAGGTGGGTCTGAACCACTAACTCTTCAGCTAGAACATGGATATTTAATCAGTTGTACCACCCAGAGCCACCTGAGTAATAGTCAAGGAGGGTGTTTATAGACAGGAGGTGTTGCAGTATGAATGTATGCAATGCTCCAGTGGCTAGGGGAAAATTAGTGTAGAGAGAGGAAAGAATTGCCTGCAGTTGGTAAGGTAGGATGGAATCTACCTAGAATAAATGGGAAAAGCTATCTGCTGTGGCTTTAGGCGTGATTAGTAATGATAAGCTTCACTGGACAAGGCCAGGAAATTCAGAAGCCAGGGTATTGAAGGATTGTCTAAGTAGATATAGAAATCCTCAAGAATTAAGAAGAGGAGAGTACTGGAAAATGACAGTGAGCCAAGGGCTAACAGATTTAAGCAATGCGGGGGAGTGGCTGAAGGTAACAGGAACTTCAGAGGGGGATGGACAGCAGGAGTGTCAGGGCAGCTTGTGTTTAGGAGGAATGAGGGGATAGTGGTTTGAAAAAGGCAATGAGAACAAGCAGGTATCCTCCTACTTTTAATGTTTTATTATTCACAATTCACATTTTGACAGTGATAACATAATATATTCCAGGGCATACCACTGACTGTATGGGAAAATCTCAGCTTAGAACCTACCAAAGCATTTCTAGCTAGGAGTTGGAGCAGCTGTAGACAATACTTCCTGAAATCTTGACTCAGAAAAAAAGTATTGGAAAGTAATTGAATCAGGATTAGACTAGAAAACATGCCAGATAGATTCTGTTCTTTTAGCCTCATACAGGTGAGACTCTATCTAATTTCAATGATTTTGACAATTTAAAATACTTTGTTGTTGAGTGCCATCGGGTCTGTGATGATGCATAGTGACCCTGTATAGGGTTTCTGCAGAAAGCCTCATCTTTCTCCTGCAGAGTGGCTGGTGGACTCAAACTGCTGACCTTCTGCATGCCCAAGTGCTTATCCTACATGGCAACCATGTTCCACTAAAATACTTGAGATGGAAAATCTAAAAATTGTAAACAATTGTAGGCACAGCAAAAATGATCATTTTTCCTTCCAATATTTGACATTTGGCATTTCAACATTTATGTTAACATTGTAAATAAGACAGCTAAAGTGTACAAATAGAGTTTTAAAACAGCTCCAATTCTAAAATCATCTAAGGTGTCATTTTTATTTTCCTGCTGTAGCTTTTCTTTCCTGTTACTACCTTACATTTGAAATTCTGATATCTGAGGTTTCTTAAATAAACCATAATATTTCTATTCTTAATACTACTTATCCCAGGGAGAGGGAGATAAGGAAGGAGCAACTGGGGCACAGATATTTATGTACAAATCATGATCCATTGTTGGAAATAAAAACTCACCTTTCCACCAGCATTTGTGCTCAGCCTCAATAGTGTAATTCAACTCTGTGATAAGAACAAACCATCAATACCAAACTCTCCTGTGCAGTGAGGTAAATTAGATGGCAGATGTTTACACCAAATCAAATATCTGAAACCTTCAGAACATTTTCGATTTTGATTGAATTTTCTAATTTTCATCCAAATGTTTAGCATCATGACACATAGTCCATGACTTGGAATTGAATGTAAAAGTAGATTAAATTTTATCAAGGAGTTGTTTGGGGAGGGGGGTGACGGCCTAAAATACCTTTGTAGGAATTTTTATTTGGGTGTGTTCTGGCACTTCCTGGAAAGGCAGGTCTGCAAAAATAAAGGGCAAAGCACAGTCCTCACCTCAGACAATTCAATGCTATGCAAATTGTGGAAAAATTCCCAGTACAGGGTATAAGTAAAAACAACAACAACAAAACTAGAAAATGTTCACAAGAACGTATAAATTGTTAGTTTTGAACTTGGAAGTTCTCAAGAGGGTTTTCTTCTTGCTGAGGCTCCTGAAACGACATCCATTTATATGCATTTTCTGTGAGGTCCATAAAACAGCAGCTCACCTTAGGGTTCCTGATAACACTGACCAAGACCAAAATGTAATGGTGTTTGTAAGAAACTTCAGGATTTTCCGTTGCAATTATATAGTCTTGGGAGGCCAGATTTTGGCTTGTTTTGTTTTTTTGATTTGGTTAGATTTAAACTTCTGAGGAATGAACTGAAAGGTAAATAAGAAGTCACACTGAAGGTGTTGAGATGGTTGGAACATACAGTCAGAGAGAATTTTAGAGTACAGTGAACATGGATGAGTCATTCAGAATCATTATAAGCTTCATGGGAATTTCTCATATTTTCCTCTCGTATGTTTGATACACATGGGGTTACCACCTTGATGGAAATTGGTTTGAGGTTTGATCAATAACCATATTTTCTTTTAAAAAAAAAATAATAGAGCACATCTTATAATTTAAAGCATTCAGCACAAATGCAAGTAATGCCTGTTCAAGCAGACTGCCACAAACAACACACATGATTAACACAAAGAGCTCTTTCACACTTCATTAATGTGACCACAAGAGCTCATACACATAATAGTGGGGAAAATGTTTCTTTCTAACTCCATGGAATGTGAGGTCAGACTTCAGCCGGATTTCCTTGTCTGGCAATGGACAAAAACAAAATGGCTCGGGCCTGAATGTGACATCTCTTTCTAATCTACTACACAGGAGGGACTAGACACAGCAGTTACCAATGAGTCACATGAGCAGACAGAAAACTGTTAGTAGGTCTTGACAACCTGGAATTAAGGTAACTTTGTTAAAATGTGTACTTGGTGTAAAGTATGTTAGGGGTGCGTCTGAGCAAGCAATGCCAAAGTGTTAGAAAAAAAATAAGTCTTTGCCCAAGTAGTCTGGTTGGATTTCACCTCCCATTTATTCTATACTGTTGAATAAATAAATAGCTTTAAGTATTCTTGAAGAACTGTTTGAATGTCTTTACGAAAAATGATGAGATCTACCTAGACAGAGGCATCAGATTTTGTCAACTTAGTGAATGCTGACTTTATTTACATTCTATGCAATGACAATAACTAGAATGGAACTGAAACAAAGAGTAGCCTTGCCATTTGAAGGGACCTTCAAATGATGCACATCCATCTCTATCACCCACGGGATGTAGGAATCCGTACTACAGTGTTCCTAAATGTCACTCAGGAATAGTCATTACCTGCCAGACCCAGTACCAACAATACAGAGTAGGCAGGCTCAGTGGACCTTATTAGATGATCATCAATTTAGACTAGCCAGGCCCAAAAGATTTTGTGAAATGTACTTTGGGCAGGAGCTCAGTTTCCCTTTGTAGAAAAATAAAAACAAAATCCCCAACAGGAAGATCCAAACTAAGGAAAATTTTATTGAAGTCGCTATTTAGATGAAGAGCACAATCACCCTCCTTCTTTACACTCCCCCCTAAAAAAAAGTTAAAACAAGCCAAAAGTATGAGTCACAGAACAGCCTTCAGGGATATTCTGCATGACCGAGACCTCAGTATGTCAGAGTTAGGGCCTGTCCTGATGGAGGAAAATGCATTTTTGAAGATAAAAGCTTCAAGAGATTCTCTAAGGAGCACAGATTTGTGAGGGATGGCCCTTTAAAATTTGGTCTTGCCTTGTACTTGGTGTAAAATATTTGTACAAAAATATAAAAGGCATGGCTTGATGTTTAACGTCTGTGTTTTATTGTTCTTGGCACCAGAAAGCTCATGTTCTATGTTATGTCACTGTACATACTGTAAACAAGACTGCATTAATATTGTTTTCTTATGATTTTTGCTTCAATGAATCTAGGTTTTAAAAAATACATTCACAAACTACCTTATGTTTAAACACAATGATTCCCTTTTATTTCTTAACTGTACCCAAAAATCCCACAATAAAAAAATCATTTAAAGCTGTGTGTTTCAAACTTATTTAAAAATCAAAACAAAACAAAACAAAAAGTAAAACGAAGATCAGTTTGCAACATAACTTAAAGAAGCTTCTGATTTAAAATACCACAGCAGCAATATAAAGAGCTGGTGGCAATCACATTTAGGGATGAGACCCAGATCAATATATTTTGTCCATGTTAGAATCCAATTACAGTAGTTGCTAAATTCAATCCAAAAGTTATTGCTAAATTTGTCGCATGGAATTTGTAAAGATACTACTGTTGAGCAACACAACCGAGCAGTAAAAATGAGAACGGGAGGATTTCATTGCCTTTGAGAACTATAGGGGCCATGCTGAGGATATTTTGGCGATTGTCTGAAGATAATCCTCAATCCATTCCTGTATGCCAACTGCACAAAATAAATGCAAATGAAAACCCCCTTTATAGGAGGGGCATAAATATCTACTCTAGAAGCCAGAATATTTCCTCTTTCTTCCCCCTCATCCAAAGCTCCAGATTGAAATGGCTCCATATGTATTTTGTTCTCATTGATAGTACATCAGCTGCTTCGTATTCAGGCAAAATTGGTCAAATCAAATATGTTTATATAGTTTTTTGCTGTTGTTTGGATCTGTTTACAGTAATCATCTGGTTTTCCGAAAACAAGCCACATTAGGTTTTGTTGTTGTTTGATATTCTTCATTTTTTTACGAAGAAAAATTTGGTCAACTACTGTTTCATTTTTCAAATGTCAAATGCACCTGAGATTGCCAGGTGAGCTCTCTACATATCTCCTGGAGATAACACTGCTGTGATGAACAGTGAAACAAAACAAACAAAACGAGGTAGGTTAAAACAGGAAGCGCAACACAGACATTGTTTTGCAACACCTTGATACCACAGGCGGCCATGCTTGTAGCTTCGGAAAAAAAAAATCCCAGACAGTCACGTAGAAGTTCAAATCATCTGAGTAAGAGTTTATAGGACACAAGTCAACCTGAACTAAATACATACATAGTTCTGCACAAATGTTGTTTACCGTATGTTGGGTAATTTGGAGGAAGGTACAATGATTAGGGTCTCAGCATTTTGGCCAAAGCCTTGCTTTCAAGTTCGGTAAAATCTGAACCAGTGATGCCTGCTGTGTATCAGGCAGGCTTAGCAGTCTAGTCCCTTCTCTCACCAACCCAGAGAGAACACAGGCAGCTCGGAAAGATTTATTATTAATTTCTTTTTTTCAGTCACAGTTTTCATCTTGGGAAAGTGGCACCCTCAGGAGAGAAATGGGAATAACCAGAATCTGGATGTCATCCACTCCTCAAATCGCAAATGGAATTTCACAAACTCTTAGTCCTAACGATGCCCACACCACACGACCTCTTAGCCTTAGAGGCTTTGTGCATTTAAAGAAAAAAATGAAAAAGTCTATATTTATTAGCTTGCTTCCCAGAACACTTTCTGCCTGAGCCCACCTGCTGTCTCGTCTTTTGACCTGATCAACTGCAAAATAGCTGAGGGAAGATTCTGTGCTAGAGCCCCTCAGTAGCTAGAGCAAACTCAACACAATGGTACTACTATCCTATTCAACACATTCCATCCTGTAGAGGGCCACAGACAAATATGGCCTGTCAGACTCACAAACATGTCAGTTGATTTTATTAGCCTAGGGCTAGTAGTTTAGCCATTTAAAATCTATTTCCCAAAAGAGGGGAAAATTAGTATTTGTCTTCTCTTTTAAAAATTCAATAGCCAGTTGCTATCAAAAAGCAACCTTTTGGGTCGGTGAAGGCAAAAAAGTTCTAAAATCACCCGCACTATGCAGTTATGGCCTTCAGTGTGAGGAGATAGGTACATTTATTGTGCTGTCTCTCACCATTTGAAATTGGAAAATTTACAACATACCATATTATAATGAACACTAGCAGGCAGACAGAATTAAAAACAGACTCATTTTCTCAGTATGCATTCTCTCCCCATTCTTACGAAGTAAGGGAAGGGTAAAGAAAAAGGTAAAGAACTCAAAACCCACCAAAGCACAACTTAATCATAAGAGCACACAATATTTGTTTCTATCCCTAACTCCAAAGGGCACACGGTCCATCTTTGTCCACAGACAATGCAGCGTTCTTGGGGATCTCCTGGAAACTCCTGCCACCTTGTTCTCTCTTTCTCAACCAGGCTGCAACATTGAAAGGTGGACTGTACTGGGAGGGGTGGAGGGTGAGGAGAAAGGGAAAGTGGTACGTTCAACCGAGCCTTCTGAGTCTGCCTCTAGACTGGCATAATTCCACACGAGTTATGTTCTTTTAAATTAGAAATAACGCCATGAAGCTAAGTGCCAAGTGCTCTTCTGTTACCAGTTCATCATGGAATTTCTGTTGAGGGTCATGAAAAACACTTGGCTACTTCCTCCAGATCGCACGGATGCAAAAAATACCTGTTTGAAATTAAAAAGAAATTAGTTCAACTGCATGAGTTTAAAATTTTTTTTTTCTTCTTTTCTTCTTCAATTGTCCATCCATTTCCTCTCACATGTCCTAACCTTGCCATGTGTCAGCTCTTATGACTCAATGGCTGGTGTTTAGTAAAGTGCCTTTTGATACAGTGCATCCTATGTAAACACTTCTGTCTTAATTACTGTGGTCATTATTATTACTGATTGTGGTATTGGCCTCCACAGGCACTGAAGAGGCTGTATATTGATTCATGAAATCTCTTTGGGTGCTCACATTTTAGAAGGGTGTTTCGTGCTAGGATAGCCTGCTGGATTCGTGACCTAGGACGGCAGGAGTCCTTTGTTAAGTTCTGAAAAGGCACAGAGGTTCCCCTTCTCTCCCCCACAGTGACCATTGGGCAGACTCTGGGATTGAAGAAAACACTTCCAAATTCCTGAAGTCAAGGGGGCAATTTTAGGCCTACCACTATATGACTTTAGTTTTTAATTAAAAACAAAATATTTGTGGCCAATTAAGGTAAGGTGTTCAATGCTTCTTTACTCTGGTATTTTAAGAGTTAATGCTTGGCTTCTCTGCTGACCCTGACATATCCTAGACCAAATGAGATAATGGCATTAATAAGAGGGTCCACAGTCCATTAGGTCTGAGTCCGTTCAATTGTTTAATTGAGTTGAGAGAAGTGAGCAAGATTTAGGTTACTGCTTGTTTGAGTTGAATGTAAATGAACCACTGTCCCAGGAAAATACTATTCTGGGAAAATACTACTATGGCCTAGCCCTCCAGTCAGCCAGCACCTAACTTTGGTCCAAGGTATTTGCTTTTGTCACTAGTATAAAGTCTCTGCTACTTCATTTCCACAGCTTCTTCAGAAGAATGCTGTCAACAACAGCTCCTTTGGAAGTTCTGAGGAAACGCTTGTCATTCACCTAATGCTACATATGAAACTAAAGCTACTGTTAGGGTCAATGAATCAAAATGGGGGAGCAGAGAGGGGACTCATGGAAAACCACCAAAGACTGCTACTCTCGCCAAGTTTTGTGTCCTGGTCTCTCAACCTTGGGTCCAGCCAACTCCTGTTCCACAGCTTGGAACAGGCCTGCTGGGGATTGGGGGTGGTCTTCAATAAACCTGAGTGTGGGGGAGGGTCCATGCCAGAGCAAGTCTTAATTTTGTGGTATCCAAAGACTGTGTGGATACTGGAGTGTTACTAGGGGTCAAATTTATTTTGTGGCTTACTCTGGTATGGCCCTTGGAGCCATCATTGCCACCCCCTGCCACTGTCCACTTAGACCACACCACATTAGAGTTGTTGGCCAGGATCAAATCTAGTCTAAACCCATACCTCCAGGGTTGGATTAAAACCAGACTGGCCTCTGGGGAACAAGAGTGGACAAATACAATTGAACAATTATCCAAGCCATCACCTTCTTTTCTATGTTTTTATGTCTACTGCTTTGGGGAAAGCATTTCTATGTTGGTCCAAGTCACAAAAGAGGAGTTTACAAATGCAGTAAAGCTTTGCTTCTAAAAACTGTGGATTATTCACAGGGAGGGTGAGGTGGTTCTGGCTGCTGCAGAATACCCTTGTGTGGTTACTGCTCATGCCAGATAGACAAAGCCAATTTCACTGGAAAACAGTTCCCCTATGACAGTGCAGAAGAACCTTGGCTGGAATGACAAAGAACATGGCGCTAGTTGAGGTGGTGATTGTGTATTCCTTAAGGAACAGGAGACATCTTTTGAAAGTTTACATTGCTACATATCAAATGTTTTACATTTAGAAGTGAAGATAATATGATGGGGGTAGGTCCTGATAGTGACTTTGTGAAAAGTCTCAAAGTGGATGTATGAAGTTGAACCACTGGGAAGTGATTAATGATGAGTCAACTCTTCTAAGAGCTTAGGAGAATTTAAGGTGTCTGCTGAGCCATCATAGGGCCTACAGGCCAAAAAAGTTACTAAAAGTTTACAAGACATTTTCAGATGTTCTTATGTCATTTTTGGTATGTTAATAATGTATTTTGAGTGTTCACATGAATCAAACCAAATAATGCCATTTCAAGATATTCTTGATTGTTTAACACAGATGTGATTCAAATCAGTATAAAGGAAAATGAAGGTTTCACAGGTACCTGGTGGTCTCTTAAAATGCAAACACTAATGCAAATGTTGAAACGGATTTACCTTATCATTTCTTTCACATAGAAACTTTAACCTTTGAGCTCGCTTATGCATAAATACGCCATCCAAATGTCCCGTTTCCACTGACCGGATCTCAATAGCTTTCTCGCCCCAGCCCATTATCTGATTGGAATGAATGTAGGCTGTCAAAAGGAATTTCCAAAACTGCATTAAAAACATTAGATGGGCAATAACTCACAGCATCTGTTCACATCTTAACCACAAAAATGACAAACGACTTGAGATAAACAGACAAAGCAAGTCTTACAAGTGTTATTCACAGACTTTTTTTTTTTTTTTTTGGTGGAATCAAATGGTTGTTTCACATTTCTTGACTTTCGTTTCATTTGGGGGTTGTAACTGCTGAAGGAGATAAGGAATGGTTAACCTACCCACAGACGTGGGCATTTCTCCCCATTGGAGCACCACATCCTTAGTTATCCGGCCGTAGGTGTTTACATACACCCCCTCATCCTCATAGCAAACAAGCATTTCCATTCCATCTGTTTTAGGCAAGATGACAATAGCATGAGGTGTGATAGTGCCTTGAATCTAGAAGACAAAGAAAGGCCAAGTGTTACTTATTTTTTTAAATAAGGCCTTGAATATTTTTAAGAACTGCAAAAGAGTATTTTCTATTTGTTTGTTTTCTTTTCATTTTCACTCCAGAGACTGAAATCTGCTTTAATTTAACCAGTGATCTGTCAAATACTATGGTAGATACTCACTTGGTTACTAGGTTGAGAACACAATTTACCTGTTCCTACACCGCTGTGGGCTAATGTGTCAGACTGCAAAGTTATTTGAACTGCAAGGTCAGTGGTTCAAGCTCACCAGTTGCTCCTTGGAAACCCTATACAGGGTTGCTATGGGTTGGAATTGACTCAATGGCACTTAACAACAGCAACAATACAAGCACCATGAGTGCTTACATGTGTGTCTACCATGTGTCATGCACTGGGCCAGGGTCTTTACCAATCTCTAGTCCTTTCAACAGCTCCCCATCCCCATGTAGATATCTTTATTTGCAAATGAGGAAAGTGTATCTTAGAGGGGTTATGTAACTAGACCAAAGCTGATAAACTGGGAATTGAACCTATGTCTAACTGGCATTGAATTTCATGTGTCACCCATTTGAACAGGATACTTCGAAAAAGATGAGGGAACACAAGTCAGCTGAATTTGATGGAGACAGCTTAAATGCCTGAGGGCTCAAGATGCATGCTCACCAAATGGACACTGAATGATAAGTGTGTGTAATGTATTAAAATAACTTCTTTCAATTATTGTGCTTCTTTGGGGTAAGGTCTTTAAACTCTGGAAATATTAGTCAGGAACAGACTAGGCTTCAGATTTTTCTGGTAACAATTTCTACTGTATGTTAGCTGTGAGGTTGTAGTCTGCCATAACACCAACCCTACTGTAATTCCCATACAGTGTTTCCTTGGAAAAGCCATGTTTTAGGCAATAAGTCAGTACAGTCATATTGCTGCTGTTGTTAAGTGCTGTCAACTTGGTTCTGACTCATAACCATCCTGTAAAGGAGGTTTCTGAGGTACAGCTAGTGGATTTAAACTGCCAACCTTGTGGTAAGCTATCCAGTGCTTATCCTACAGTGCCACACCAAGGCTTCACAGTTAATAGTAATCATATATTGTTTTATGCCTATTTTATAGATGTGAAAGCTGAGGGTTGGAGAGACTAACTAACTGTATCCACGTTGGAAAACTGGTAGTGTCAGGAAATGAGTTCAAGTGCGGGAACTCACTATCCCACATGACCCTCAGTAAAAGAGAACAACTAGGAATAGTAGAAAAAGAATTTTCTCCAAGAAATTAATACCTGACTACTAGCCTTCACTCTCATACAAAGAACCAATCTTGCTTCAGATACTGAAAATAAGAAGTCATTGATTATATTCCCACTTAAAACACAAAATCTATGCTACTGAATGAAAAAAAAATCATGTGTATTTTAATTGAATTTTCACAAAGATAAATGGAGTAAATGTGAAAATAATACCTAATGTCATGGTACTCTGTTTTAGGTACTGATACAAATTAGTTTAATTTACACGTATTTGTTATTAAAAGAATTCTATCTTCTTAGACCAAAAACCAAATCAAAATAAAACAAGCCTGTTGCCATGGAGCTAATCTCAAACTATAGTTTACTTTATAGGAGAGAGTAGATTGAATGGCCCAAGGGCTTGCTGAGGTTGTAAATCTTTAAGGAAGCAAACTGTCTCATCTTTCTCCCAAGGAGCAGCTAGTGGGTTCCAACCATGACCTATGGGTTGGCAGCCAAGTGCTTAACCACTGTGCCACCAGGGCTCCTTTCTATCTAGTTAGTGAAGACCAAAAGTTCATCTGCGTTACTGATGGTAAAAGTTAGCATGATTTCTACTAAAAATATGCAAAATCAAATCTTTCGGAATGCAGGCTATTGTACGGAAAGCACTTCACATTCTGCTTCCAGGAACTTACATGAGATGGTATGTAGATATCATAAGAGTTTCCTGAATCAACATCAATTACATGGAAACCAGTGTGTGAACCAAAGATAACCTTTAATCTTTGGCCTTCTTCTACCGTGAGATCAACAAGCAGAGGCTTGTGCTGGAGATCTGCAAAAGACTTTAAAAAATCACTCTATGAGTATCCACATTATCCAAAAAGGTTACCTTAACTTTTTCCTTTTGGCTATTGTTTGGTGAAAGCTAATCTCTAACTTTCTTAAATTAAGAAGCTAGGAGATCTCTCTTTCCATTTGAGGTCTGTTCATGTTCTGCCTCTCAGAGGTAGTAGGATCTTGTATTCATTGTGTCCTTTCTTTAGCCCTTTACCTCCAGGGTAGAGAAGTTGGTTTTGAGTTGTTTCTTTCAACAGTGGGTGACATCATTCACTGTATATTAAACAACTAGTGCCTGGGTACTACTGCTCTTTCCTGTTTGAGTCTTTTCCCTCTGACAAAACCACAGAAACCTCTCTGGCCGAGTTCATTTCCATGTGGCAGCCGGGCCATCCACAGCTGTTGTCCTTTCAGAAAGCTCTGGGTGGGCAGCTGAGGCTGGTCCTGTGCTAAGCTAATACAGGATTAATTGGCATGGTTGGTTATGAACATTCTTCATTGAGTTAAAGGAGGTCAGATTGGTGCTTTGTCTAAACTTAATGCTGAATCTGAGAGTAGGGTTTCAGGTGATAAAGAAGGCAAGTCAGGGATGGAGGAAGAATATCACAAGAATTAAGCTTATGATGGCTACTTGTGTTTAGAAAAAGAATGCTGCAGGCAAGCTTCAATTAAGGTTTTACACTTTGGAATCTGGGGCTCAAACCCTGACTTGTTGTCAAGTGTTTATGTTTTCTTGTACCATTAATAACCACACTCTATCTTTATTGGGTCTTGCAGCCCCAGAGAGACTTTGGATAACTACAAGTGCCTTGGACACAGTGTCACTGCCACCTAGCAACCCCCCACCCTCACTCCATCTTTTCCTAACATTATTCTTACAGCATAGGAAGTATGGGTCTTTTGTCCTGGCCCTAGAGGAGACCCTGACCCTCTTCCAGCTCCAGCCTTCCCTGTGCAAGTCTTTGCCTTTGTTCTTCCCATCCCAGGCTGAGTCTAGACTGCTGAACAGAACACTCTGCAACCTCCTATTCACTTTGGCTGCTGTGCTGATGGCAGTAACTCCAGAACTGATCTGGGAATGGGGTCCTGATTGAAAAGCTTTTGCACAGAGAGGTTTTGGCAGAACAGCAGCACCACTTTAGCTTTTAAGGAGTCATCCCTTAAGTATTCTTGGTTATTACTAACCTAATGCATTCCAAAAATGTCTCTCCATAAAAGCAGGGTTATGGTGAATCTATTTTCTTGAGCACATCACAAATAAGCCACTTGCACTAAGGGTACAATTTATAAAAGGGGTGATTCAGTCCTGAAGAGAGACTACATAATGGTCCCAAAGCAGATTCTGCCCTTACATGGCACATGTGGCAAGAAATAATAAATAAAGAGAGATAGTAGCCATTAAAGGTGGAGAGAAAAATGTGAGAACTGATGAGATACAGAAAGAGGGAGTGAGACATAGAGAAAGAACAGAATATAAAATTACATTGGCCATGGAAAGGCTATGTGGCTCTGTACACATCAGTGGGCCTCCAAATCCTAGTCCTTTTGGCAGTGTAGGAGCCATGTCGTCATGAGTTGGGGAATGGGACTAGGTTTTGCTCATGTTGAATCTCATGACTGATCAATTCAACCATGATAGCTATAGACTCAGGACAGGTAAAAAATGAAAAGGCAATGAAAATGGAAAAAATGTCATGACGCAAAGTCATTTCCATAAAGCTACCGCAAGAAGTATTTGTTTCAGAGAAATCCAATTGCAGTGGGGATCTGAGCATCAACTGTTTTTTAGGGGCTTCACCTAGAAAGGCTTATGAGGATTATAAGATTTAGAGATCAGTGCTGCTGTTTGTCTGCCTTTTTCAGAGAAAAATCAGAAAGTGTCCTAGTAAGGGCACTGCACACCGAGTCTCACGGCATAATGTCACAATCATTGCTTTTTGCCAGCGGCCATTCCATTCTAAATGACACATGGAGGTAATGCATGGTGCCTGGACCTGAACTGAAGGAGGGCACAATCCAAGTTTTAACTTGATTTTGATTTTATATCATTTAAAAAATACTTAATCTTCACTTTTAGAATAATAAAGCCAAGAGTATCTACACTTATAAAATAGGATAACTGGTATTTGTCTTTGCACCAAACCAAGAGGCCATTTTGTTATCTTGGGGAAACTGGAGGAAAAGAATAAAGCATCCTGTCATTGGTAATCAGATGTCTGCTTACCTTAAATGCCATAAACTTATGATATGGTTTAGGAGCCCAAGCATATATCTCCACAGCATTCTTTAAGGCAATCACCAAGAATTTGATCCTTTCATATTTAACTGTAATGGAAAAATGATAAAATTTAAAAGTATATCAGTATAGTAAAGGTTTTAATTTTAAGGCATGCGAATGAACTTATAAAAAGTCTTCAAAAAAGACCATGGAAACATGGAATTAAAATATAATCACATATGATTTTATGTTCCTGGTGAAGAATTTTCTCATCTAAACAGACTTAACTTCTTTCAATGTATTTGGTGGGTCTGCAGAGTACTTGGGGCTTTTGCTTCACATTGAAGGCTGTTTTTTTCACTTAAAGATGCCACTGCTTAACCACTAAGTTAGATGTGAACTAATTTGCAATAATAATATGCATAATCTTCATATGCACGTACTACTTACCTTGTAAATTCATCCACACATAACTAGCTGAGAGCTGGTGTGGCTAAATGGTGCAAAATTAGTGAGTAGGTAGACATATAAAGGTTTCTACTTGCTTATTATTCAGATTTGAATTCTAATTATTAAGTGAAAGAATTGCTTGTTAACATTTCTAATTGAAGATGGAGTGTTAGAAGTCCTGGATTCTGTTCATTTATTTTTAAGGGCTCCACATACTTTAACAAATCCTTTTATTCAATTGTTGTTAAGTGCTGTCTAGTTGGTTCTGACTCACAGCGACCTTGTATGGGATTTCCAAAGAGCAACCGGTGAGCCTGAACTGCTGACCTTGTGGTTCACACAGATCTTGCAGTCCAGAGCATGAACCCATAGCACCACACCAGGGCTCTCTTTTATTTTATAGGAATATGGAATATTAAACCAAAATCCAAACCCACATTTGTGGCATTGATTTTGACTCACAGTGAGCCTATAGGGCATAATCCAACTTCTCCATAGGCTTTCTCAGGCTGTAAATGTTTACTTTCTCATCTTGTTTCCTGTGGAGCAGTGGGTGGGTTCAAGTCACCAACCTTTTGGTTAGCAGCCCAATATTTAACCTACGGCATCACCAAGGCTCATCCCATATGCTCTGACAAATGCTTTTACTCTATAAGAAGATAGATCATTGTTGTTGTTGTAAAGTGCCATACAGCCGGTTCTGACTCACAGTGACCTTGTATAGGGTTGTAGGGTTTTCAAGGAGTGTCCGGTAGGTTTGAATCACTGACTTTGTGGCTAGCAGTCTAGTACTTATTCTACAGTACCACACTCAATGGATATAAACTTGATGTAATTGGGTATCTATTATAGCTTTGTCTTACACAAAAAAGTACTTAACAGATGTTTATTGAATGGATGAAAGAGAGTTATTGTTGTTGTTTGTTGTTAAATGCCATCCAGTTGGTTCATATCATAACAACCCTGTATAGGGTTTCTGAGGAGCAGCTGGTGGGTTTGAACTGCTGACCTTGAAGTTCAAAAAGACTTGTGGTTCAGTGCATTATCCCATAGCGCTACACCAGTTATTTGCCTTTCTATTGATTGTTATGGCCTAATTACCTCTTATATGATTGTGAACAATATTTATATTGATGACCTTGGAAGATTATAGAATTCTTTAAGTGTCTTCTAGTATTAAACTACAGAGTCTTGTTCTTAGAAAATGTGTAACCCACAAACGATACACATGATAGTCATTTCTTCATCAGGTGTCTGAGCAATTAGGATGTTCAGAGTCCTATAGAAAATGGGTAGGAAAGATTTTAATAGACTTAGGTGAAGTGCTAATTTCCAGCTCTCATTCAAGCTTTTTATGACACAAATGCTTTATGATATTAACCAGTCTCTGATTTCCCTAATCTGAAACCTAAGAAAAGATTCACAATTAACTTTTAAAAATCTTTGAAAATTAAAAACTTATCTAAGTATATGTGCATATATATATTTGTTGTTAAGTGCCTTCAACTCAGTCCTGACT